GTTACCTTTTTCTTATTTGCCTACAGTCTATGCTCATCTCCCATCAAAAGTGGCACTGCCCCCTAGAGGGTCAATTTGTTACTACATACTCTGTCTAGAAGCCTGATATTTACGGACAAGCTTTAGCAGATCGTCCCCCAAGCCACTCTTGTTGAAAAACAAAAAACGTCTATAGACGTCTTTGGCAGCCAATAAGTTAAAAGGCAGTTTTTCCTTCCCTGTGTCGCCTAGTGCTGCTCTTAGTGGGAATAACTGAGTCGGTCTGATCTGCTCTGTTTGGAAAGCTGGGAGACACCTGTTGTTGTGATGTGGTGCTATATAAATAAAATTGAATTGAATTTAATTAAAGCCCACAGCTCACCAGGTCCACCAGGTCCTTCTTGTCCTTGATGAGCTGCAGCGTGCGCTCATAGGCGCGCTCCACCAGCGCCCTGACCTCGGCGTCGATGAGCTCGGCCGTGGCTTCGCTGTAGGGCTTCTCCAGGACCATCTCGCCCTGCCGCGGGAGGTCGAACGACACCTGGCCCACCTTATCGCTCATGCCGAACTGCACCACCTGAGGAAGGAGGCGGGCGGGGTGAGGTGAGGTTGGTTTCACTCGTGTGTTGAAGCTTCTTGGTGCTTCGTTTTATTTTACTCTATTGTGCCATCAAGTGGACCATGATTGTAAAACCATACAGCGTGATTCTAATGGGACTTTGGCTTTGTTTTTTTTGTTTTGTAGTCCTTCCTGTCTGGTCCCAGTGTTGTTTTCCCACTTGCTATCTGTTGATGCCTTGACTCCGCCCCTAATCACCTCCACCTGTGTCTTATCGTGTCCCCATATTCCCCGGTCTGTCTCTTGTTTCTTTGCGTGTTCGTACTTGTCTTTTTTGTCTGTCGTCCAAGCATTTTTCCTAGTCTCGTCTTGCCTCGTGTTCTTGACCTTTGCCTACCGGTTCTTGACCACCGTTCCATCCGATTGGTTCACTCGTGTGTTGAAGCTTCTTGGTGCTTCGTTTTACTCTATTGTGCCATCAAGTGGACCATAAATGTAAACCGTACAGCGTGATTTTAATGCAGTGTTTTTCAACCACCGTGCCTCGGTACGCTAGTGTGCCGTGAGTGATGGTCCGGTGTGCCGTAGAAATCATCCTATTTCACCTCATTGGTCTAAAAAAATGTTTTGATAAGGAATTAATTTTCTGCAAATAATATTACATTTTTGAGTGTCTGTGCTGTTCTAGTGACTGATGGAGTAATCATGTAATAATTCCTTATGACTAGATTTTGTATGTAATTTTGCATATTGAAGTGGACATGTTAAGTGCAATTTGAAAGAAGAAATATAAAATATGATAAAAATACATTTTTGTGTTTATTTGATTCCTATTCAAGACACTTAAGATAAGATAAGAATAAAATAAGAATAACTATAGTGTTACTATAGGCGGCTACAGATTTGTTTGACAATTTTAGTTGGTGGTGTGCCTCGAGATTTTTTCAATGGAAAAACTGTACCTTGGCTCAAAAAAGGTTGAAAAACACTGTTCTAATGAGACTCTGGCTTTGGTTTCTGAAGCATTGAATGAATTAATCAATGATGTTTGTGATGCTGCCGTCAAGGGTTACCAGCCTCTCCCCATTGGCTACTGGGATAAGCTCCAGTCTCCCCATTATGGGATCAGCGGTTACCATAATGGACGAATGGATGTTTTCGGAAGCTTATACGTAAATTCTAAACTTTTATATGGTGCCTGTCTTTATGATAGAATGAAGGGAAGCTTGAATAGATCGCTAACAAACTCGTAATTAAGTCCCAAGTCCACAAAATGTGAGGGGGGATTCATTCCACTCCCTTACATTTCAAATAGACCGCCAAACCTCGAATCACTTCCTGAATCAGGAAGTGACTCAGCGGGTTCGCGAGGCTTCAAACGTTTTTTCATTTAATTTATTTTGAAACATGATATGATGTAACAATGTTTACATTGAATGCTTCATAAACATGCATCATGTTTCAAAAAGGAGTACCGTAGATGAAGCATAAGCTCATTAAGCCCTACCCCTCAGTTACATGTGTCATGGTGGTAAAGGACAATTATTTACAGTAAGACAAACAGTATAACTTTTTATATATTACTTTTTTGTATTCATCAAAAATACTTTTCTTATATTCTTTTTTGAATTGCTGGATGCTTTTACATTGTTTAATGTTTTCAGGCAAGCTGTTCCAGAGCTTCACTCCGCTAATTGATAAACTGAAGCTTCTTTTTGTTGTTCGAACATACTTAGTTTTGAAATTTAATTTTCCTCTTAGATTATATTTTCCATCTCTATCAGAAAACAATTGTTGTATGTGCGCAGGAAGTAAGTTATTTCTTGCTTTATAAAGAATTTGACCAGTTTTGAAATCGATTAGATCTACAAATTTAAGACCTCTTGAATCAAGGAATAAACAGCGAGTGTGATCTCTATAACGTTTGTTTTTCGTTACTCGTACTGCTTTCTTTTGCATAAAATTCAACGGTTGAATGTTCGTTTTGTGAGTGTGACCCCACACTTGGACGTACCTGTGCGTACGCGGACTGCGTGACTTTCTTCAGGTCGTCCTGAGCTCCGGTGGTGATGCGTTCAAAGAAGACCTGCTCGGAAACGCGGCCCCCCAGCATCATGCACATCCGGTCGAACAGCTGCTCCTTGCTGTACAGGTACTGCTCTCTGGGCAGGTACTGAGCGTAGCCCAGACCCTTCCCCCGGGGGATGATGGACACCTGCACACAAAGCAAAGCCTTAAAAAAAAAAACCCGAACCTCCGGTTAATCGCCACTTTACACTACAGGTTAGGGCAGTGTTTTTCAACCTTTTTTGAGCCAAGGTACAGTTTTTCATTGAAGAAATCTCGAGGCACACCACCAACCAAAAATGTTAAACAAATCTGTAGCCGCCTATAGTAACACTATAGTTATTCTTATCTTATCTTAAGTGTCTTGAATAGGAATGAAATAAACACAAAAATGTATTTTTATCATATTTTATATTTCTTCTTTCAAATTGCTCTTACCATGTCCACTTCAATATGCTAAATTATATACAAAATCTAGTCATAAGGAATTATTACATGCTTACGCCACCAGTCACTAGAACAGCACAGACACTCAAAAATGGCATATTATTTGCAAAAAATTAATTCCTTATCAAAATTTGTTTTAGACCAATTAGGTGAAATAGGATGATTTTCTACGGCACACTTGACCATCACTCGCGGCACACTAGTGTACACTAGAGGCACAGTGGTTGAAAAACACTAGGTTAGAGCATTCTCCAAATGTGGACAGGAAGTACTGTGTATGTGCCAACAGGTTGTACAGAGTTGGAGAAAATGTGTTTAAAATACAGGGTTTAAGCTGCACTAGCTTAGCTTAAAACCTGTTACAGCATTCCAGGTGCAGGAGCGTTTGGCTGTTAAAGTATCACTTATTGCTTTCCTGTTCCAATTAGTAAAAAAAAAAAAAATCTTTTTAAAGTTTTCTTGCCTTCATTTTTGCAACTATTGCTGGTCTGAGCTGCTGGAACTTGGCCAGGACACTCTTAATATTAAAGCTCGTTTTATCCTTCTTGAATAAAGGTTTGCTAATCGTTTTTAAGAGTTTCTTTATCAGATAGAAACGGCAGCTTTTACATTTTGAGACTTCCTCTGCAAACGTTTTGGCTAAGCCTCCATTAGCATCTGAGTTCATTAGAAAAATGACCTGAAGACATTCAGACTAACTTTTCTACTTTTACTGACAGCAGTTCTTTTCTCACCACACACTGCTGGATAAAAACCTGTTCGATCCCACGGTCGGTACCTTAAGCAGAGGGTCGGCGTGCTGCAGGAACCAGCCCACGATGGCGTGCCCCGCCTCGTGATATGCTACCGTCTTCTTCTCTGCGGGCTGCAGGACCTGGGTCTTCTTCTCCAGACCTGAAGCCAGAGACGGGCCTCAGTTCAGACCAGAACAATCTACATCAGGCCTTCACACGGTGGAACTTAAACTGTTAATGTCTGCTTTTTTATCTTATTAATCTACAACAAACGAGGCATTCAAATGGAACAGAGCGGACATAAAATGGGGATAAAATGGGCATAAAATGGGGATAAAAAGCGTATAAAATGGGCCTTGTTGGCCATAAGAGTGGTGGAAACTGCTCAGAGTCAGACTGACCTCCGATGACCCGGTCGATGGCCTGCTCAAAGTGCTTCGCGTTGACCGATGGATTCAGGTACCTGGCGGCGATGAGAGCCGCCTCGTTGCAGACGTTAGCGATGTCGGCACCTGATTCAGACAAAGGGTTCAGTAAAAAAAAGGATCAGAGCTCAGCCTCTTTCAAAAGACGTATGAGAGGCACTTCAGAGTGGAAACACCCCTCACAGGGACTCCAAATCTTTTGTTAGATGGTGTTACACACCAGTGAATCCTGGAGTGGCTGCAGCCATTTTGCGTGCGATGGCATCTTTGTCCAGACCGGGGTCCAATTTGATTGGTCGCAGGTGGACTTTAAAGATCGACGCCCTTCCTTTGATGTCCGGAGGGCCTATTAAGGACGGGGGAAAAAAAACAAATATGCTCTATTTGTTTCCTACTTTAATCAAAACTCAACCAGGCATGTTTCAGATGAAAAATAAAAAAATAGTATTTGAATCTTGATTTTAACTCATTGGCTGCCAAAGACATCTATAGACGTCAATTCAAATACAACCGCTGACTGCCAAAGACGTCTATAGACGTCTTTTATGTTTTTCAACGCGAGTGACTTGGGGGACGATCTGCTAAAGCTTGTCCGTAAATATCGGCTTCTAGACAGAGTATGTACTAACAAATTGACCCTCTAGGGGGCAGTGCCACTTTTGATGGGAGATGAGCATAGACTGTAGGCAAATAAAAAAAACACAATGGTTCGCTATGCGAAAAATGGCGCTGGTGAGACGCAAGTCGAGGAAGAACGGAATAAGGTAGAAACAATTTTTTTTTCCTGATGAAAGAAGAGAATCTACTCTTTCTTTTGGTGTGTTCGGTGTTTACATAGTCATAGCACAAACTATTCTGTGGCTCTTGAAAAATCAGTCAAAATGCTCAAAAAACTCTGGCAGTATGGGATTCTCTGTTCTGAAAATGGCTGCCAGTCAATGAGTTAAAAGCAAAGATCCTCCACCTATATAAATCTGTCTGTCAAAGCGCCCGGGTCTCATCAGTGCAGGATCCAGGATGTCAGGCCTGTTGGTTCCGGCCAGGACCACCACATTAGTAGCTGTATTAAAACCTGGTGGGAAAAGAAAAAGGGAAAAAGTACAATTCAGCCCCCATCTTGGGTCGGGATGGGCAGAAGTACGGCGTGGGCTTCCTCCTCCCTACCGTCCATCTCCACCAGCAGCTGGTTCAGGGTGTTCTCCTGCTCACTCTGACCCCCGAAGTTTCCCCCTCCTCGCTTTCTCCCCACGGCGTCGATCTCGTCGATGAAAAGGATGCAGGGCGCGTTCTTTCTGGCCATGGCAAACATGTCCCTCACCTATCGGGAGGAAAGCCAAGTCTTAGGGGAGTTTTTTTCAACCTTTTTTGAGCCAAGGTACAGTTTTTCATTGAAAAATTCTCGAGGCACACCACCAACCAAAAATGTTAAACAAATCTGTAGCCGCCTATAGTAACACTATAGTTATTCTTATTTTATTCTTATCTTATCTTAAGTGTCTTGAATAGGAATCAAATAAACACAAAAATGTATTTGTATCATATTTCATATTTCTTCTTTCAAGTTGCTCTTAACATGTCCACTTCAATATACAAAAATTATATACAAAATCTAGTCATAAGGAATTATTACATGATTACGCCACCAGTCACTAGAACAGCACAGACACTCATAAATGGCATATTATTTGCAGAAAATTAATTCCTTATCAAAAACATTTTTTAGACCAATTAGGTGAAATAGGATGATTTTCTACGGCACACCTGACCATCACTAACGGCACACTAGTGGTTGAAAAACACTGTCTTAGGGTCTCTGAGTGACCACACGGCTGGGTGACCTGGGTTTGTGTCACTCACTCTGGCGGGGCCGACGCCCACGAACATCTCCAGGAACTCTGAGCCGTTGACGGTGATGAAGGGCACGTTGGCCTCCCCCGCCGTGGCTTTGGCCAGGAGAGTCTTCCCCGTCCCGGGGGGGCCGGACAGCACGGCGCCCTGCGACACAAAAAGGGTTGGAATACGGTGAAAAAGACCCCCCAATGCAATGGTAACATCCGATCACAACACTACTCACGTCACCCCTCTGTTCAGTGAACTCCACTGGTTACCTCTGGCTGCCCGTATCAAATTCAAGTCCCTGATGATAGCCTACAAAGTGCTTAAGGTACGGCTCCCATCTACTTGAATCCTCTTGCAAAGGCTTATGTCACAACTGGATCACTCCGGTCATTAATGGACGTTGGTCTAGCAGAGCCTCCACTAGCTTAAGACAATCCAGACTGTTTAATGTGTCGTTCCAAGATGGTGGAACCACCTACCAAGCTATAAGAACAGCAGAGTCCCTGTTTGTCTTCAGAAACTCTTGAAGACCCCCCTCTTCAAAGAGCATCTCCTATCCTAACACTAACCCGTACCTCTACCCCCCCACAGCTCCTCCTGTAGTCCCTCTACAGTACCTCTATCTCTATCTCACCACTGACTCTGATCAGTGTTTCTCCTCTATATAGCTTATTGTAATTGTGATGAGAAATGTAATATTGTGTCTACTCTGTAAGTCGCTTTGGATAAAAGCGTCTGCCAAGTGCATAAACATAAACACATAAACATAAATGGAACATATGGCTTCTGAATTATCTACAGAGTAATGAGAACAGAGACAACCGTTCAAACAAGCGTTTCAGATCAAAATCGGTGGAGAAAATTAAGTCGGATCCAATATTTTTCAGCAGTTTCAGACATAATGGTATTAAAGCTGCATTGAAGCAACAGTTATCTCTCTTGGTCCTTAATTTAGAGTGTGGATGTGAAGGACATTGACCAACTAAACTTTTGGTTTAGTTTTCGAAAACATAATTTAAAAAAAAAGAAAATCCTACCAAAAACTTCTTCATTAGTGAGAAAACCTAGCAGACATTAAATCTAAGTCATTATGGTGTTATACATCAGAATGGGTAAGAAAAAGCAAAAAGACTAAAAACAAAAAAAGGTGTTTGTTAAGGCTAAGTAGAAAAACTCTGCTAGGAAGCGGTCAGTGGTGGCTGACGCATGGCGGGCTGATTACTTTGGGGATTTTGGCTCCCAGATCCTGGTACTGCTGCGGGTTCTTCAGGAAGTTGACGAACTCCAGGATCTCCAGCTTGGCCTCCTCGCATCCCGCCACGTCTTTGAACTTCACCTCGATGTTGTCCTTCATCATCTTGGCCGTGGACTCGCTCATGCTGAAGGGGCTCCTCCCCCCGCCCGCGCCTCCTCCCATTGGTCCCCGTCGCAGGGTGAAGAGGAGGAAGCCAATCAGCAGCAGGGTGGGGATCATGCTCATCAGGAAGGAGCTGAGAAGATGCAAACAGACGGCTTCATCATCCAGTGCACTGGATCACTCATTTACAAACATTTCCTTCGTTACTTTTTTTTATTTTATTTTACCACGCAGCTCCCTGGGAAGCTCAAACTTTACGACTTAGCTTCTGGCCACCTAATTAACCCTTAAAACCTGATCCAAGAATAAAACAAAACAGAAAATACTTTTTTTTTGTTTGAATTCATTATTTGGCCTTTTAACAAAATATGTAAAAAGAAAAACTGAAATACTTTTTTGATATTAATAATTTATTACTATGCGATAAGTCAAGATTATTTTTGTGTAGGTTTCTGCCCCCTGTTATCAGGTGCATCTGATTGTGTGCAACAGGAATTTGAGCAAAGTTTTTACCATTAAATTATGCAAAAGGTGTCAGACGCAAAACATTTCAGAAACCGTACGTATCAAATATGATACATTTGGCGTTACAGGGTCAACACCGTGCTCAGGTGGGTTAAACTCACCCGTCGCTCTCGGAGCTGTAGATGACGGCAGCTCGGTGTGACGGCTCCAGGCCCAGCTCCACATGCGCAGCCTCCAGGTTCCTCTCGAACGTGTCGACGCTGCCGATGTTGAACCAGGCGTAGCTCTGAGGACCCGGCAACATCACATCTTTAAAGGAGTCATATTATACCCTATTTCAACAAGTTAACCTAGTTCCCTGGTGTCCTAATGTAATGTCTGTGACAAGCTTTGGTCAAAATCCCATAAGGATGAAGCCCAATAGCAGTTCAGTCCCCCTGCCTAACCCTAACCCTAACCCTAACCCTAACCCAAAACAGCCCCGTTCAGAGCGCTCGCTTTGGAGTGCCTGTCTCTTTAAATGCAAATGAGACACAGGCAACCCACCCACTTCTTCAGGGAGGTGTGCCCACGTCGGCACGCTAACGCTACCATGCTAACGCTACCATGCTAACGCTACCATGCTAACGCTCACGCTACCAGGACGTCTCCACAGATAGGGGAGTAAGCTGAGGGGGGGGGGCAACATGCAGGTGAAAGGCTGGAATATTATAATGAGCTAGAGCTAATGACGTCAGAAACTACCCACTCCTGAAACCCCCTGATTTATCTCCTGGATTCAGACTGAGGCAGCCCACAAAAACATGACCGAGTCATTTTTTTTCACACTTTGCCTGCTGATAGGCCCTCCACAGTCCCAAATGTACATAATCAAATTATTAAAAACCTGGTTTTGCATAATATGTCCCCTTTAAACAGAAAGCTAACCGCATACAGGTACATGCACAGACACACAGGTTACAGGTGCTCTCACCGTTTCACTGTCTCCTCCCGGCACCAGGATGACCCTCACGTACTGCTTGTTGACCACCTCCAGCCGCTCCACCTGGAAAGTTCATTCGTTTAGAAACGTCACATTTTTTCCCGTTAACTCATTGACTGCCAAAGACGTCTATAGACGTCTGTTATGTTTTCCAACGAGAGTGGCTGGGGGACGATCTGCTAAAGCTTGTCCGTAAATATCAGGCTTCTAGACAGAGTATGTAGTAACAAATTGACCCTCTAGGTGGCAGTGCCACTTTTGATGGGAGTTGAGCATAGACTGTAGGCAAATAAGAAAAAGGTAACGGTTCGCTGTGAGAGAACATGTCGCCGGTGAGACGCAAGTCCAGGAAGAACGGAATAAGGTAGAAACACTTTTTTTTTTCCTTTCTTTTGGTGTGTTCGGTGTTTACATAGTCATAGCACAAACTATTCTGTGGCTCTTGAAAAACCAGTCAAAATGCTCAAAAAACTCTGGCAGTATGGGACTCTCTGTTCTGAAAATGGCTGGCAGTCAATGAGTTAAGTTTACAAGTCCCCGTTTTTGGCCGTGGGTCAAGTCCAAAGCACGGTTTATTATTTTAACCGTTCTATTGCGTATCAGAAGCCGGTCAATGTGTCGTCGGTCCTGCTGCTCCTCACCAAGCCTCTGCCCAGGTAGCGGTGGACAAAGTCCTTCCAGCTGATCTCTCTGCCGTTGTCTCGGAAGTAGAAGTAGAGCACAGCCGAGCTGACCCCGGCCAGGGTGAGCATCATGTAACGGAAATCCTTCTCGTCCCAGGGGAAGTCCCCCTGAGGGCCGACACAGAAACAGACGGGGGCGCACGTTACCAGGAGGTTATAACACATCCGGGCTGATGACACAGAGCTCAAGCATCTGATGTAAGAGCGATTAATAAGATAGATAAGTTAGCGTCATCCTTTTTTCTTTCAGCGTACAGGGAAGAAATACAAAAGTCAATTTCATCCTCCGAAAAGCCATAGTAATATAAACTGTTAACTAACTAAAATAGTCTAATAAATGAAACCACTTCTGTGTTTATTGTTGTTCTGGTGAAGATCTCATCATTGTATTTACAAAAACAATTAGGAATTATTGTTAACCAATTACAATCATTTCGACCTCCTTTTTTCCTGCCACTGGAACACTGTGTGTGCGTCTTTGCGGCATGTTGTTGCCATTTAACTGATCCCACATAAGAGAGTCCTCTTTTCATTACGGAGGCCCTTTTCTTTTAGGTGTTGATGACATACCTTCTGCATTCGACTCCACCAGTCTTTTCCTCCTCTCTTCCCTCCACCGGGTCTTCCTCCTCCTGGTGGTCCTCCTGTTCCAATTGAAATTCAAATGGTCTGTTTAATCGCACAGTTTAGAAAGCCTGCTAACAATCTGGTTGTTATTCCAGTAGGATATTTACACAACATCCCACATCTGTTACAAAAAAACCTCCTCCTAGGGTTTCCTTACATACAACACACAGTGGTAAATATGCACCTTCAAACTGTATCTTTCTTCATTTGCACAGACAGTTTTTTTTTAGTTATCCTTTGGACAAACTCCAACATTACCTTTATATTATATTCTAACTTACAAGACTTTCTCTTACCGCTGTATTTCTGTCTTTTCTACTTGTTTTGCCCTAATTATTTGAGGAGATTAAATTGCTATAATTCATAAAGGTACAAATTAATGTAATGCATTAGCATAATCAATAATATAGATGATGTTAAGATTATTTGATTTGAAGGGGTTGAATCGCATTTAATTCTCATGAAACCTGTTCAAATCGTTTCAAAGAAAACTGTGAAACTCAGCAAAGTCATACAGAAAAATGGCCACTCCTTCTCCAATATGTTTACAAAATTGATTAATTAGACCAAGCAAAAATGTGGAGGAGAAAAGTTCTTAGGGACAAAAAAAAACAGCTCTTGGCTGACCTTTGGGCTCCGTGGAGTAGAGCCGCCTCTGGGCGGCCTGGAACCGGCCACAGGTCAGCAGGTTGAGCTGTTTTCGGCTGGTCTGGAGGAGAAAACACAGACAAAAACACATTAAAGGGCACAGCAGCGGACAAACGACGCAGCCTGTTGATGCAGATAACCTGGAAAATACGTGTACGGGTGCCGGGAAGGGGCAAAAATACACAAGCCTGACAACTGTACCTGTGTGAACTGAGCTAAGAGGTAACGAAATGGAAATATGTGTTACTGGCTGCTTTTGGCCTTTAAATAAATAGCTTTATGTGGAACACGGTGCTAGTCGTGTTTTGTAATTAATTCTTATGATACTTTCCATAAGAAAGATCACGTAATCAGGTTGTACCATAGCGACGAAAAAGAAGTTATCGCAGTAACAAAATACTTGGAGCACATACTAGTTGATGCAGATAACTTGGAAAATATGTCTACGGGTGCCGGGAAGGGCAAAAAATACACACGGCTGACAACTGTATCTGTGTGAACTGAGCTAAGAGGTAACGACATGGAAAGATGTGTTACTAGCTGCTATTGCCCTTTAAAATAATTGCTTTACGTGGAACACGGTGCTAGTCGTGTTTTTAATTAATTCTTATCATACTTTCCATAAGAAAGATCACGTAATCAGGTTGTACCATAGCGAC